CGCCGCGTGCGCCGCGCAAAGCCGTCCCCCGCCCCCCGGACCCGCCGCCTCCCCGCGCCTGCCCGCAGGCCCCGGAGGCCGGGCCCGGGGTCGAGCCGAGTCGGGTTAAGCCGGGTCGGGCCGGGCCGCCCCGTTCAGGCCCGGCCCTGCCATCCCCCGCCGCTCCGCCGCGGGCATCGGCCGCCGGGCGGAACCCGGCCGGAACCCCGGCGCTGCCGCTCCCGTGGGCGGCACGGCCCTTCCGGCGCGCCGTACCGCTCGCCTCGCCGGAGGCTGCGCCGATTGGCTGGGAGGGCCCGAGAGCGCCGCTGCTATTGGTGCATCCGGCGAGGGGGCGGGGCGAGGGGGCAGGCGGGCAGGGGCAGGCAAGATGGCGGTGCAGGCTGTGCACCTGGAGGCGGACGCGTTCCTGGTGTGCCTGAACCACGCGCTGAGCACCGAGAAGGAGGAGGTCATGGGGCTCTGCATCGGAGAGGTACCGCCCGCGGAGGGGCGGCCCCGGGGAGTGGCGGATGGCGGCGCTGCCTATGCGGGTTGTGGCCTGCGCGGGCCGTGGGACGGCGGGGCGCGGCTGCGGCCGCCGGCATCGCGCACGGAGCGACCCCGGCACCCCTCTGGTGTGCGGCCCTGGCAGCCGCCAGCGCCTGGGTCAGCTCCTGGGAGAGTCAGAGTCAGGGAAGCTTGCCATGCCCGTGCCCGCCGTGCTCAGCAGCCGGCCGTGCCCTGCGGGTTGCTGCTTCTCCGGCACAGGAATCGCTGATTGCCCCTCTGTGTCGTTAGGTGGACACCAGCCGGATCGTGCACATCCACTCTGTGATAATCCTGCGGCGCTCTGACAAGAGGAAAGACCGTGTGGAGATCTCACCCGAGCAGCTCTCAGCTGCTTCCACTGAAGCAGAGATATCCTTGAGCAGAGGCAGCAGCAGGCTCGCCACTGAAGTGCTGTACCTCCCATGGGCTGGGTTGCAGGCCTGCAGTGGGCTTGGAGCTGTCAGCTGCTCCCTCCTGCAGCTGCTCAGCTGGCTGTTGCCTTTTCCTGGAGTCTTTGTGGGTTCCAGCTCTTGCAGTGGCACCGTGTTATAAATTTGTTATCATTGTTTTGTATTTGGTCACAGGTAAAGCTGCAGTGTGTTTGTGGAGGGGGTGGCAGTTCAGCAGGGAGGCTGAGTGGAAGAGGAAAGGGCAGCAAGGCTCCAGGGGCTGCACTGGGGAGCCTCTTCTCTGCACACACTCAGGGATGCTGATTTGGACAGCTGCTGAAATGTTGTTTGTTGCCACATGCAACCAAAATCCAGTTTGCTTCTGCAGCAGTGACTGCTGGTGGTGCTGGGGAAGAGGCTCCCATCAGGCATCCCTCCCTGCACTGTTTCTCATCACTCCTCCAAAGGGATCTGGAATTCTGTTGCCTCATAGCAAACCCTTTAAAACCCTGCTGTTTTCCCTTGTGCATACAGCCCTTCCCGTTGTCTGTTGTTCCAAGAGCTCCTTGACCCCCACACAGGTTGGCAGAGATGACAGGACGTCCCATGAGGGTGGTGGGCTGGTACCACTCCCACCCCCACATCACCGTGTGGCCCTCGCACGTGGGTAAGAGCAGCCTGGGCTCTCGGGGCCAACTGCAGCTGCTGAGCCTGCCACGGGCACTGCAGCCCCAGCGCTGCACGTGCAGCAGCTCTGAGTCTGAAACAGTCCCTGATTGTCTGGGTGGGCTGCAGGGGCCCTGCCAGTGCAGCCCCATTCCTGTGTGTGCTCTCCAAGGACTCAGACGTGGCCCAGGAGTCACAGATCAGCTGCTGCTGGTACTGCTGTTCTTCCAGAGGGAAAAACCAGACCTTGGGTGTGGGGAATAGCAAAAAAAGCTGTGGGGATCCTGGGCCTGCCATGATGAGTTCTGATACCTGTGAGTGTTAATGCATAGCTAAAAACTCTCATAAAAGAAGTACCTGAGTACTTTACATGTGTTGGACTTCATGGGGGCCTGTGGCAGCAGGCTGGCTGTAAGACAATTTCTTGGTTTTGGGAGCTCATCTTCAATTTTAAGATTTCTATTTACATTTTAAATTGGATCAAGTTCTGTATTTGAACTCAAGTCACCCAAAGTGAGGATGTAAACCTAAAGTTTGTGACCTTTGTTACCAAATTGCAGATCAGCCTCCAGAAGGTGCAGATCATTTCCCAGTCCTGCCGGTGACAGGGCAGCTCTCACTCTCACTTCTGTCCCTGCAGATGTCCGTACACAGGCCATGTATCAGATGATGGACCAAGGGTTTGTAGGGCTCATCTTTTCCTGCTTCATTGAGGACAAGAACACCAAGGTAGGCAACTTAAAAATGGCATCAAACCCTCCAGGGGCTCACGAGAAACAGCAGGGCAGAGCTGAAGTCCTTGGGTGCAGCCTGCAAGAAGGGCACAGCTGTGCTGGGAGCACATGGAAAGCACAGTGGGAGTGGTTTGGATTGTGATTCCAAGGGCAGGAGAACAAGTGATGATTGCTCTGAGCTGCCCCGAGGGCTGCAGCAGCAGCTGCAGAGTGTGCCTGAATGGGCCAGGGCTCTTCCCTCAGGTGTCCAGCCCAGCACACACAGCTCTGCCCCTCTTCCAGCCTCTCCAGGAGGTGTGGCTGTCGTGTGAGATAAGCTGACAGTCAGGTCTAGGCTGTCCAGGCAGCTGCTGAAGATTTTTATCATTAAAGGTTTATCAATGTATGCTTTAAGCATCTCCAGCAAGCAAATCACAGCAAAACCTCTGGAATTATATTAAAAGCTTCCTAAAGGAATGTGTCTTTGCCTTCTAGATGTTTTTTGCCTTTGGAATCTGACTTTCTGCTGTATCTCTTAGACAGGTAGAATTCTCTATACTTGTTTCCAGTCTGTTCAGGCCCAGAAGAGCTCAGAGTGAGTACAGAAGAATATTATATCTGATTGTATTTTGTCTTGTCTCATTTCTCTGGCTTGTCTCTAGTAAGTGACTTCTCAGCCTGTTGTGAGGAGCAAACATACAGAGATGCCTGCACAGAGTCTCCTGACTTCTGCTCCTGCAGACTGCTGGAAGAGAATCTAAAGATTAGGAGTGATTCTTTTAGCCTAGATATTTATTCTTAAGATTTGAGACGTCAGGGTGGGGATTTATGCTGCAATTTGGTGTGTAGCAGCACCACCTTTTTGCTTCCAGCTCTAGAGGTCAAGCCCTCAGGTTTGCACCTTAAACAATTAAAATTCAAGACAAGTATGTGGATATAAAATGCTTCTCTTTGCCTGTCAGCTCAGGCATGTGTTCCCAAAAGTGGATGTGCAGCACTGCCAGGCCTTGGACAGACTTGCAAGGTTGTAGAAGTCAGGTTTTTGTTTGCTGCTTTTAATTACATCTCATACCCTTGTAGATACGACAGGATTGAAATTCCCATTCATGTTGTCCCCCATGAAACCATTGGGAAGGTGTGTCTGGAGTCAGCTGTGGAGCTGCCCAAGATCCTTTGCCAAGAAGAGCAGGATGCCTACAGGAGAATTCACAGGTAAAGCCTGGGGCCCTGCCCCTCGCCAAGGCTGTCTTTGCTGGCATGTTCTACTCTTGCTGTACTTAAGACTACCAAAGCCTTAGCAAAGCTGTAGAAATGAAGAAGGATTAGCAGCTCCTGTGCCTCTGTAGAACTTTCTGAAATCTCTAGAACTGAGCCTGGGGTTAGCAGCAGAAGTTTGGGGTTTTGTGATCAGGTGTTGTTGTCCTTGTGAATGTGCAGGGCTCCAGCAGGTGAAGAGGTTTAGGTGTGCCTGTGGTCTGGTTAGTGATTCGTGGGCAGCTGGGGTTTAATACACAGTTCTCTGCTGTCTTGTCTCCAACCTGCTTTCCTTTCCTTCCCTTAGCCTCACCCATCTTGACTCTGTAACCAAGATCCATAATGGCTCAGGTAAGGATTCCTTTCTTGCATGTGACAATCCAGGGTGCTGCTCCCAGGGTCAAAATGGTGGAATCTTGTTACAGAGGAACAGAATTATAACTAGGAACTTGAAAACTTCAAAGGCTGTAGAACACCCTAATCCTGGGTGAATCATGAATGTTGTGTCCTTCAGGCTTTGTAGAATTGGTTGAAATTATAGAAGGCTTCGGGGCTTTTTGGGGCTTGGTTTGTTCAGGCTATTTTTTCTGTTGGAACAGAAAAGGGGATTTGGGATTTGTTGAGTGTTAAAATAGTGCCTGTCTGACCTGTATGCACACTTCCATCTCCTGGCACTTCATAGGTGTTACATGGATGTGACATCTTCCCTTTTGCCACTGTGATAGGGTGAATCCTAATCCCACTTCTGTTCCAAGTTTATCACCCCATTGTCCATCCTCACATGTTTAGGAAATGAGGCATTCTGTGATGCTTCTAAATTTAGAAATTAATTAGCATCAGTGATCAGCTGTGTGCAGATTTTCATTGTGGATCTGTCATCCCTGCCTGGGTCACACTGAAATGGTGTTTCCCTGTTAGAAGCTGCTGGTTCTGACCTTCCTGTGCAGATGTGTGGTTGCCCAGGATGCTGGAGGGTTTCCTTGGCTGTCTGTTGGCTTTGGGGGTGTTGTAGCACACTGAGTCTTTTGTGTGCTGTCCTGGCATGATGTCTTGTTGCTCTTTGCAGTGTTCACAAAGAACCTCTGCAGCCAAATGTCTGCCATCAGTGGGCCCCTGCTGCAGTGGCTTGAGGACAGACTGGAGCAGAACAAACAGCGCATGCAGGAGCTGCAGCAGGAGAAGGAGCAGCTGCTGGAGGAACTTGCTGCTTTAGAGTGAGGAGGAAATGCAGACCCTTCAGGAAAGTGACATAAAAAAATCTTCAAGAACTACTCCAGGCTGAAGGGTGGCCCTACATTGCCTCAGTGGAGGTACTGGCTGTGCCTCTTGTCTTGCAGCAAAGAGCACAGCTCCAGGATCAGGACTTTACCTGCCCCAGCTTGGTGCAAAGCAATGCTGTGTCTG